GGGCCGGCGGGCTCGTCGCCCCTCTGTCCCCCTCGTCCCGGGCGCCCGCGGGCAGGGGCGCGGTCTACGGGAAGCGTCCGATAGGTGCCGGCGCCTCTGTGCCCTGCGCGGGTCTCCACACGGCCGCAAGCCGCTGGCCTTCCCCCGGGCGGCGGGAGGGCACCCGCGAGCGAGGAGGGAAGCGGGGAGGCGGGTTTGCTCCGAGGAGAGTCTCGTCTGGCAGGGGAAAAGCTGCCTGCCGATCACAGCTGCAGCGTGGGAAGGAGGTTTGGCAGCAGGCTGTGTGGGGTTAAAACAACATAAGGTACGGGCATATGTCATCACCTGCTGAGATTTTAGTGATCGCTGTGTATTTTTTGCCAGTGAAAACTGCAGCAGCTGTCTTGAGGCTTTCGTTGCATTTTCGGGGTATAATAGATGCTAGCGTTGTCAGCTCATATGTCTTTGCATTGCGTTTGTTCTGCCTGTTAACGGTTTCTGATATGAGCAAGCAAGTATAGGAGAAATTACTTTTCCTGTTTTTTGAAAGGGTACTCATTTTTAAAAGTGAGAAATAGTGCTTCAGCTGCGCACAGCCCAAAGACACAGCCTTGCTTTGATTTATGGTAATACGTTTAGTGGACGTCTTGCTCTGGTTGTAAATGTCCTTGCTAAAGAGAGAAGGAGGGAGCCAGGGCATAGCCTGCAGCTGTACCTAGCACAGTATTTGTGACCAATGTCCGGCAAAGGAGCAGACATTATTTAGCAAAGATACAACTTTCATTTTCTAAAGAGAGAGTTTGGGGTTTTGTTTTGTTTTGTTTTGCCAATTTTGGGAAACCGTTTTCCCAGTGTTAATTTTAAAGGAAACATCCTCCTGATATATGTAGCACAACAAAGAACTACTTGCTGGGAACAGGAAGTTGTTGAATTCAGATGCACAGAGGTCCACAGAACCATGACTGAACCAGAAAACAGGTGTTCCTGACTCTGCTCTTGGCCTCTAGAGTGCTTTTTGGCAGATCACTTGATTTTCTTTTGTATTTTATGTCAGAACAGACTCAACATACTCATTGATTTCTATTACTATACAACAATGGGATCTATGTGAAGGAGTTTAGGTATTTACTGCCTCTGTGAAAGAGCAGTTATTAACGCAAAGAATACTACAAAGTTACAGAGGAGCAGTTATCTTTACTTCTCCTTTCCTTGCTGACAGGAGCGGCAGTGTCAGTGGTTGGGAGGAGCAGGGTGCTGAGTGTGCTGGGTCTGGCTGTGCAAGCTCGGTCCCAGGCGTCTCTGGAGGTCCTCCATGGCCAGGTGACCCCGAGGGCAGAGCTGTGCCTCTCCCCTTTGGATGGAGGTGGATGCAGTTTATGATGGAGACAGCATCTTCCAGACTGTTTGATCTTTACTGGTTGGTGGGATGTTCTGAGCTGTTGCTTGTTAATAGGTGTAGCGAGTCGCTTGACAAATAAATACTCTTGTGTAATTTGGTTCTGCTATTTCTGCAACACATATTTTTTATAACTGTCTAATTGTACTTTATTTAACAAAAATTGCATCCCTAACAAGTACGTAGAAAAACATTGTAGTTCAAGCTGTGGGTCTCTGACATCAGTCTAACTATTTGACTTAAGACAGCTCAGGAGGCTGAGACAGCTCCTTGCATGTTATATGCTAATTATTTTGAAGCCTCTACAGTAAAAGCAATTTTGAAAAATTAGTTAGTCTTTGCACAGCACTGAGTCTACTTGTGCAACTCTAACTCCGTGTATATCAGCTGCATTATGCTAAACCAAAGGGACTTTCCAGAGACTTGAGAAACTTTTGAAGGTACTGTTATTTATCTGTGGCTGGAGTCCAATGCACTGCTTGTTTTATATATATATATATATATCTGACATTTTCTCCGTCTGCTTGCTTTTAATTAGCAGGATTAATGTCTTTAGTTTTATCATTACTGGATTATTTCACTTTGATCTCCTCAGGGTTCTCCAGCTCTCCAGCTGAGAGATTTAATTTTGGCAGCTGAAAATCATAAACATGTGAAAGAGATTGAAAAGTTTGTGTAGAATAAAGATTTGTGAGACAGAGATTAGCTTTTGATTATTGTTTTATTTCTATGATTAAAAATAGAGTCAAGTTTTGTAATTCAGGATTTTGGCAGCAGAACATGGACAAAGGTATGCATTTAAATGGCTAGAGAACGTGGATACCAAACTACCACTTAATCTGCTTTGTATTTTGGGGAACAAGTTTAAACCAGAGGGACAGTGGGTTAGTGTTTCAATGGCAGGGGTTGCTCATTCTCTGGGAAGGATTCTGTTTGTACGGAATGTGTAGATGAGACAAGAATATTGTACCCCTAAATCATGGGAGCAAAGGGTGGCAGGGAAGCTAATCCGTTTTATTCTCAGGTTCTCAGGGTTTTTTTAGGGCAAGGCGAATGAGATTTCTTTGTTCTTCTTTCATTCTGAACATCTCCAACCTGTGAAGAGGGATAGGACAAGGACAGGATTCCTGCACTTTCAGTAGGTGTAGCTGGCAGTGAAAAGTGACTGCGTGGCAGCCGCATCAGTCTTCCCAGACACGACATACTGCCCTCTGCAAGCTAAACTGTTAATCTGGAAAACAAACAAAAAGGAGGGGAAAACAGTTAGCTAGGAATAAGAGAGAGAGCTGTAGAAAAACAGTAGGAGCAAACAAAGTAAGGCAAGAATAGGGAAAATGGAAACAGATTCTGAATTCCCCAGTGACATTTATGAGCTAGCTCAGTTTTATGACACTGCCAAGGAAATCAGTAGTGCTCCCAAGTTAAAGCTATTTAATGCTCACTTGCTCATCTGACAGAAGGGGAAGTGTTTTTCTCAGATAGACACACAGTGGATGTAAATGCACATTGCCAAAGATTATGTGGTTGTCACTAGTTAGTACCCCTGCTTTTTCTTTGCATTAGGCTTATATCAGGCCACTCAGAAAAACATCTCTGGTGAACATGAAGCACCAGGAAGGACGGGAACAAGAGGAACCTTAGGAAGGTGACAACAGGTCTTCCTTGGTGCTCAGAGAGCACGACCTCTCTGAATTGAGGGGAAGGTCTTGTACCTGTGCCCGCTTGCAGAAGGCATCTTGTGCAGCCTTCTTGTTCTCTGATTTGCCCACCCATGCTGCCAGAGCAGAGGCTTGCAGAGCTCTCCCGTATGAAAAGGTCAGTTTCCAGGGTTTAGGCAGAGGGCACTGGTTCATGGCATTCAGGTTGAGAGAAGCCTCCTCTTCACTTTGACCTCCAGACAGGAAGCAGATTCCTACAGTGAGGGGAAAATAAGGCTTAGAAGCTGAGTGCTGCAGCCACCACAGTCTCTGACCCTCGTGTGCCAGATGAGTGAGGGTATCATACGTAGGAGCAAGGCCAGTGAGAGTGACAATGTGAAGGACTGAGACATAGTAATGGATACATAGTAATAAACTGGAAATCACCAGGGACAGCAGCAGGAACAGTGCGGAGGAGAGTAGTGACAGTTGCTATGGCTACATCTTGAGGGGTGTACTTAATGCCCAGCCGTCACCATATTGGGTTTCAGCAGTGTCCCTTCCAAGTAGACGTGATGATCATTCAAAGCCTTGTAGACAGCAGCCAGAACCTGAGAACAGAAGGATGAAATGCAGACCTATGCTCAGATCTTCACACGCTGAGACCCATCTAATTCACACCCACAGATTCTTCAACAGTGTCCTCAGTCTGTTGTGGAATGAAGATAAAACTGAACTTCCCTTTCTCTTGACCTTTATCACGGGGGTCAGTAATGCAACCTGAGAGACAGTCTGCTATCGGAATGACTAAGATACCACTCTTTATGTTTATTGGATTTGTCCCTGTTCACAGGGACACCAAAAGAGAGGTACATACTTTTACCCCCAGTGAATCCTTCTGCGATGGAGAATGCTTCTAACGGAAGTTTGAATGGACATCCAAACGCATGGATTCTAGTCTCAAGTTTGCTATTAAATCATTATATGTGAGTAACTCATTTCTGTGGCACAGTCATGAAGTACTTTCTTGTTCAAAACTCCCTGAAATCTAGGAATGCAAACTCTGCACAAGGTTAACCACTGATTTTTGAAGAGGTGAGGATCTCTTACCTTTTCTGTGACATACTGACAGCGCTGGAGATCGTGGTCTCCATCAGGCAAGATTTCTGGTTCCACAATGGGCACCAATCCGTGCTAAGGAAAGAAAACCAGGAAAGTCTTTTCAGATGTTGGAAAAAAAAAAAAAACCTGTCATTGCTGTCTATCCCCTTCATTGATAGTATTCCTTCTTGCTGTACAGCCCCTCTTCCTCATCGTTTTTGAAACCCGTCACAGTAAGCAGTCTTTCAAGATATCTAGCTGTTATCACAGGAGCAGAGATAAAGGGTAACAACATCTCAAGAAAGATTAGTGGAGGGCAGATACCTGCTGGCAGATGCTGGCATAGCGTGCTAGTGTGTTAGCATTCTCCTGGATGGCGAGCTGAGAGGGAGTTGTGCTGGTGATCTTCAGCACCGCGCGCCATTTGCCAAAGTCAACACCGTCTTTTTTGTACTGGGCACAGCGCTCAGCCAGTCCATCCAGCCCTACAGATGAAAGAACAATGCTTCACTGAGAGCAGTTTTTTTGGAGTAGGGCTGAACTTTGTGGTCTCAACGTAGCCCTGAAAAGTATTATGATGCCAGCCAAGGCTGCAAAACCGCTTGAGTGATCTGATGGCTTTCGCTTTACCAATCTTAAGTATGGCTACTTAGATCTCTCCTTGCCTTGTATGGTGGTTTCTCCATTTGTTCCTGCTAGAGGTGCTGTGCCTTTATCCAGCTGTGGAGACAGGAAAAATAGATGGAGATCAGTCTGTTACTTATCTTGTGATCCATAGCTAGTCTGTCTTTGCCGACAAACTGTAGGTAAAGTATAGGCTAAGGGAAGATGTGGTGTTGGGGGGAGTTTTGGAGAAAAGGGGAAGAAAGGAGTGAGTTAGGTAAGAGGACTGGGCAATTTGCGGGTGGCTGCAGGGAACAGCTCAAGAGCTCTCTCAGACTCAGAAAGGTTTTTAGTCTGTATACTGAGAGGAAGGCTTTAATTTTAGTGAATGGTGCAACAGTTATTGCAAGGAAGTAGAGGGGTATTGCTAGATGAAAAGGTCCTGGATCATATGTAAATGCACAAATGTATCCTGGTTATTTGTACGAAAGCCGCACAGACAATGGGGGCAGAGATCCTCTAGGGTCAGAAACAAACAAAAAACTGGTTTGCAAGGGAGAGGGCAGCCCCTGTATTACAGTTCTCATTGGGAATAGGGTTTAGAGTATTGTGCCAGCTAGGCATGTACAGACGCTCACCTTTATTCCGACCACAATGCCTTTTTCTTTGATGATAGCTGGAAATGGCTTCCCACTGCTGTCTTTCTGATAGAGAGTCTCATGGAAAAGGATCACTCCCCCAATGCTCTGATTGATGGAAGCATCTGAAGAGAAGAGGATCTCTCGAAAAGCACGACGATTCTCCTCTGTGTTCTCCACGTTGATCCTCTGCAGCCTGTTCCCCATGGTACCTGGCAAGGTAGCCAAAGGTTGGGCAGAGATGCGTTAGGTTAGATTGGGCTTTTGGTCCTGGCAGGGAGTAATTAGTAAGATCTGGAATTTCAGTTCCAGAGCCTCCCTTCTCAACCTGTAGTTTAGAAGCCTTCGTTGCTACAGACCCAAACCTGCCTGGCTGGACTGATGGTTCCAATAGAAAGTTTTAAAGTGTTTTCATTTACTCCACTGATTTTGAAGATTAAACAAAATTAAGGGAAAAATCCCTGGGTAATGCTAATTGATTGTTATCCAGAACTCACCCACTGATTCATCTGCAGCTAAAATCCCCTTTCCTGAAGCCACAATCCGCTGAGCAATATCTGAAAGAGCTTTCTTCTGCTCTGGAGACAGCGCTGAGAATTGGTGGGTCATGATGGCTTATCTGTGGAAGAGAATTGCTGTTAATGGGGAAAACCGTATGCACAAAATGTGAACCAGAGACAGCAGTCTGAAGTATTCCTATTAGAAGCCTCTTTCTTGTTTCTTGTCTGATCCATTGCATCACAGGAACATAACTCAGAAATCCAGTCTGAGGTCTTCCTAACTTGGGTGTGTCTGGTGGCACTAGAAGAGAGAAATGCAGAAACCACATGCTCGTGTATCCTTCCAGAACCAAAGTGGGAGAGACTGCATATTATATACATTTGCTCAGAGACTAACGGGACTAGAGACTGAATTTATCATAAAAACCTGTGGCAAAGTAACAAGTATACTAACTGCAGACTATGCAAACTTCTGTGCAAAGCAGTTATGACATCTTGATCCTAATCAGAAGACTGCCAAAATTATCACACAGTTGACCTTCACACTTCTACTAACGATGCCCTTCCTCCCATTCCCTAGCCGGTGTTGGCAGTGTTTGCTTTGTGTAGTCGTGTTTTCATCCCCTCTGTACTGCCTTGGTTTGTAATTCTCTCCTCCCCATGTCTACTTTCAAACTGTAGCAAGCTGCCTCCTCTGTATGAGATAGGGGGTGTCAGAAGGGTTCACCACCCATTTCTGTCTTTCCAGTTCTGGCAGAGGGGCTTACCAGCTGCAGATACTCAGCACCTGAAGCTCAGGTGCTGTCTTGTTCTGAACAAGTGTTTGACCTTAATGAAGTTTTGATTGGATGGAATTAAGTTAAAGTTTCTCAGATCTTCTGAAAAGGCTAAGTAACTTTCTTGTGTGTATGAGTCTGTGGAGCCTGAGACAAGGAGAATTTCTGTCCACTGTTCATCACAGGCTCTGGCTAGAGGAACACTTGGATTTTTATCAGCAGGTGGCACATTCCTGAGAGGAATCATTAAAAACAACATATCAGACCTCCAATTAAAAATTTTCCTCCTAGAGGGGGACAGGCCTCTGTGCAGCAACTTCATCTTCCTTTTCCCAAACACAACCTTATAGGGAAGCAAGAACCTGTTATCTCCTCGTAGTTCCTACCACCCATTTCAACATGTGCCAGAGGTGGCCAGCAAATATGCTTTCCAGCCTAAGTAGGTACACAGCCATGTTCTCCCTCCTCGTTCCCTGCTCACAGATACTATGTTGCCAGCGAATCTGTGATTTGCCCTCTCCACTGAAGAGCGTAATGGGGAGGGACAATCAGGGGAACTGGCTGCTACTCATGATGTAGTAGATGCCAGCATCCATAGAGTTTGGTCACCGTGCCAGATGGTGCCAAAATTTTCTGGCAACAGTCTTGGCACAGTAAGACAGTACTACCAGAGTAGTTGTCTAGTGCTCTTGTGTCTCTTATTTATAGTTGAGGATGCTTTAATATTGGTTATATTATTGTGCAAGATTAAAATGACGTTGTCTACCAGTAGAAACCAATTTTACTGAGATTTAGTCTCCAGATGTCTGCTTCTCCTGTGCAAGAGTTGTCGGAGGCTAGAAGTCATCTTATGTGATTTGTCAAAGATGAGTCATTCTAGGTTTACAGAGGGCTTGAGGGAGTGTGTGATGAAGTGCTTGTCAAATAAGGGAGAATATCCTCCTCTCCTAAGTGCTGAAATGTCTTGTGGTGTTGCAAAAGCAGCCTGCGCTGAAATCCTCTCACTGTGTCCCAGCTTGTGGCCAGAGCTCTGGGAAGCATCTTTCTTCTGCTGTGATGACCACAACTCCACCACTCCCAGCTTTTAGAAAAGAATCTGAAAAGCCATGGCTTGTGCCACGTAGCTAATTAAGCTCATCTGTAACCTTGCTTGTCCTCGCCTGTTTTCTAGGTCTGATACATCTCTTAGTTGTCTATTTTAGGAGTTCTCTAGCCTGTTATTATGATCATTATAATAATAGTTAGTGTTAGTATTTCAGCCAAAATCACAGCACTATTACATAAATTGGTATGCAAAACATGGTGAGAAACAGCTCTGGTAGTTCACAATCTAAATGGAAAAGACTGGCCAATTATGAGAGAGTATGACCTTGTCCCAGCTCAAAGGTAGTTAAGCTAGATCAGTAATGCGATTTTTGAGTATGTCTACTTGCAGCTTGAAGGTGTGCTACAGTGTAAATAGGTGTATCTAGGTAATCTTTAATCCAGCTAGCAGAATTACAGCCTCATCAGCCACTCTAGTTGCATTATTATGGGTAAAAGTTCTCTCCAACAGTGCACTAAGCAATGAGACTAACATCTGTTGTATCTTATATGTTTCCTGTGTTTGCATAAAGATAGTAAAGAGACAGTTATTACCCAAAATGAGCCTGGAAACAAATGGCTGAAATACAGAAGTAAGAGTTTTCAGTGGATAATACTGATCCAACTGTCTAGTGTGGGAGACTGAAACAATACTGTGTAATTCCACAAGGCAAGGATGAATTGGAAGACAGCCAATTTCTATTTCATGCATGTATCTCCTTAGAGCATGACGGAGTAGGGGGAGGCTTACTAAAAACAAATAGCCATTTCGGTGACGTGTACCTTGTTTTTCCCAATAGATTTGATCATGTAGGCTCCCAAAATGATCTATGAGGCTATGGTGAATGTTTCTCAGCTGCTCTGCAGTACTACATGGAAGTGTAAGATGGATAGTGTATCTACTTAGCGAAGAAGTGGTGCAAAATGGTGAAGAAGTGAGTGCAAAAGAAGAGTTGTAAGGCTGATGTTGGTTCCAGTATCCAGAATATTGAGGGACCCTTCCTTGATTGAGGCTCTTTTCTGTGATTCCTTCATTAGGAGCATAATCTCTGAGAATCTTCCCCATTGGATTCAGAAGGGGTGTCTCTACTGCAAGGTACTGCTGTGGATATATAAAGGGGATTGGAAGGGCCTTACAGTTCAGTAACACTTCGTTACTGTTGCCTTGTAAAGAGTAAGCTCCTAACACATCAAGAGAGGCATAAATGTTGCCTTAAGGAGTTATTGCAATCTAGTTGAATATGTTACTGTACAGATCCTGAGGGAAAATGGTTATGTCCCTGTCATGGGTACAGTCTTGGCAGCTCATTTAATTCTTCTGTGAATGAAATTTGCCTTTTTACTCTGCTTTTTCTGTTTAATTTGTCAGCTTTTCCAGGCATGGAAAGGCCCAGAGGACCTTTGTTTTCAGTAGCAGTATCTTAGAGTTATCCCACCAGTAAAGTTTTTCAAGAAGTCTTATTTTTATTTACCTGTTTTAAGCTGTGGGCTACTGTAAGTGTCATAAGCTCAGGTGATTTCACATGTATTTGTATGAGTACATGGTGATGAGTATTCTCTTTGTGGTAAATGTTCACAGTACATTGTTTTAAAAAAGTAGAAGAATGAACAAACAAAACAAAAAACTGCACAGAATACATAAAAACAGCGGTATGGCTACCTCAAGTATTTGTTAGGTTTGTATCACTTTTTTCTCAGGTTCCATTAAGGAGCACTGCAGGGGAAATATCTTTGTGGATATCGGCACAAACACTGCACCCTGTTAATATTGGTAGTGTGACCCAAACGGCAGAGGCGAGATGAACAGCAGAAGGAACAAATTGTTACATTCCGCTTCAGATCATCTTAGAAACTTTAACGCTTTGTTAGCCTCTTTTTTTTTCCAAATACACGAAGGGACTGGCATCTTCTAATCTTAGAGAAAAAAAAAATCACCTGAGTACTGGTTAGCAGGTGGGAAAAAATCAGATTAGAATTGTTGTGTTTTTCTGTTGGTCTCTTCACTGGCTTCTTTCATATAATAGGTACTAAGAGTATGGGATAGCGCTCTCAAAGTATGGTTTGTATGCAATATACGCAGCTTGGCTGTTCACTTACTAGCGAACATAATCCTTCAGCACCATCTTTCTGACAATTAGGAATACAAAACATAGTTGCATGTTGTTGCTCTGTGCGCGCCACAGATTCTGCTTCAAAAAAGTCCATGTCACAGGTTGAAAGAAGCAGAAGTTGCATGCATAGATAGATTCATGCAATAGATGTGGAGAATGAAATAGCTTAAAATACACGCCAAAATACGAGATCTGATTCTAACTGTTTTACAACTAGAGGTGCATAATGTTTACCTGATTGGATTTACTCCCCATTTACATTTGTATGTGCAGGAATGTCAGACCCATAATGTTCTATGTACCTTATATTATCGTTATAGAGAATAAATTTATATATTGGCCTCATTTCACCAGGAAGCTCTATTAAAAAGCTATTTCTAAGTTTAGTTATTTGGACACAGGGCAAAATGATAGGTATAAATGGCTGAATAAATCCACCCTCACTAGAGGACAGAGTATGTGTTGAATACGTCTGTTGTTGAGAGCACTGTTAATTATAGGACAATATTAATTATTAAAAATTATATTGCTGAGAGCAATATTATGATATATTTTTATATTTTTCATTATATTAATGAATAGAGAGTGGGTGTACTATCTGCTATCCGGTTTAAAAGAATGAATATTTACAGACTGGGCAACATCGTGAAACAGGCCAGCATATTCAGAGTAATGTGGAATTTACCCTGACTTTAGCAAGGCTTTTGACAGTCTCCTTCATTATTCTATGTATATTTTAGGATGTTATGATCTAGATGGATGGACAACTAGATGGATGGGAAACTGTTTGGATGATTAGGCTTAGAGGGTGGTGGCTAGTGGCTTTTTTTTTATATCGTGTGCGCGGCAGTATTGTAGGGTCTATCCCGGGACCTGTCCGGTTGAATGTCTTTATCAATGACCTGGAGAAGCTCATGGAGCACATTCTCATCTTGTCTGCAGATGATGCCAAACTGGCAGGTCCAGTTGCTATGCTTAACTGCAGGGCTGCCATCCAGAAGGAACTGAATAGATAGGAGAAAGGGGCCAGTGGAGCCCCCATAACATTCAGCATCAGCAAACGCCCAGCTCTGCCCCTGGCGATGCAGTGTACTAGAAGCGATATGGGCCAGGGCCAGCAGGGCTGGAAACAGCTCTGTGGAGAAGTTCTGAGGCTCTGGTGGGCAGTGAGCTGAGCGTAGGCCAGCAGTATGCCTGGGCAGCAAAAAGGGCCAGCAGCATCCTGGGCAGTGAGGGGAGGGGGACAGCCTGGAGAGCATGTGCAGGAATTATTCGGCTCTGCTCATCACTTGTTATACTGCATCTAGATACTGTGTCCAGTTTTGGCCACCACCCCAGTACAAGAAGGACATTGACAAGCTGGAGCAAATTCATCAGAGGCCACTGAGAACGCTGAGGGCTGGAGCACTTGACCTGCAAGAAGAGACTGTGGGACCGGGCTTGTTCAGCCTGGAGGGGAGATGGCTTCAGGGGACCTAACAGCAGCCTCCAGTACCTATGGGGAGGTGATCAAAGAGATGGACTCAGGCTCTTCATAGCAGTGCATGGTGGGAGGGTGAGCAACAACAGGCATAAGCTGAAGCTAGAGAGATTCAGACTGGATATGAGGAATTTTTTTACACTGTTAGGACAGTTAACGCAGTGGAGCAGATTGTGCAGCGAGGCTGCGCTAACTCCATCCTCAAAGGTTTTCAAGACCCAACTGAAAAAGCCTGGAGAAACCTGGTCTAACCTCATAACTGACCCTCCTTTGAGCAGGAGGTTGGACTAGAGATTTCCTGATGTTACTTTCAACCTGAATTATCCTGTGATCCCTTGACTACTTGCTTTGGGAAGCTTCAATGGAAACTATGCCTTCTGTCTGTACGGTGATAGGGATGCGAGGGAACAACAGGCTGTTTCTCCCTTCACTTTTGTAGGCAGGAGTGAGGGTTATACTATAGCACAATGCATCACTTCCAGGGTCTAAAATGTGAGTCAATAGTAGGGGGAAAAGGGGATCTTCAGACTTTTGTTACCTAGAAGAAGCAGCAGATGTTTTTCATTGACATGGTAATTCTTGTGGAAGCTCTCAAAAAACAGATTTCACCATAATCTAGTTTCATCATGATAGGTCCTTTGAGGCATATATGAACTGTGGCATTTCTGATAGTAAATTGCTTGGTGGGTTTTTGCTCTCCTTTATGAGGGACAGAGAACAAGGTTTTTCCATCCCTGCGCTCTGTCTAGGGACCTTTCTTCATTGTTATATCTCAAGTGGATGGCAATATGTGAGACCTGCTGTTTCCTGTCCGGATTCCCGCACTGGTCTCAAAGCTGTACTCATAGCTCTAAGCAAATATACCCCTCTCCAGTAAGTATGAAAGGAAACTATATGCTCTGAGACCAGGTCTATGCAGTTGGTGTAAACCACTCCTGTGCTGGAGTGCTCATGATGGTAGAGATGGCTGGAGAAACTGGTTTCTTGCAGGTAAGTGTAGTCATTAGTGTGAAATTCCCTCCCTTTCAGGGCTGAGCTCTTCTTCTCAGAGAAGGTAGAAAATGCTGTCAGATTTGCTTGAGAGTTCAAGTCTTTGAAATGACAGCAGGGGAAGCTTGGGGTGGCGGTGAGGTGAGTTTTGGGTGGAGTGAATACCTTTGGGTGCCAAATAGAAGGGATCATTGAGAACGTGATGAAGAATCACAGGCTTGGAAAGGATTTGTGTTTATTAGCAGGCAATTTCCTGAGGCTGGCTGAGGGTAGAGCCTAATGTTAGCACAAAAAATAGTATTTCCAAAATCCTCTTTCTTTCTTTTTAGTTTCTGCCATTCCAGGCTGCCTTGCGTCCCTCTGCCAAATAATCTTATCAGCATGACTGCATTAATACTTCAGAAGAAGCCGCATAGTGAACAACTTCTGTTGTCATAGGCATTTATCTGGACTGGTTGCATTCTCCGATTATTCTCTCTTCTCCTTGCAAAATATAAATTTATGTTCTCCGCAAACATAAATAAACACATACAAAATGAAGCAACAGAAAGCAATGCAGGTATATTAGTGCACTCATCTCCTCAGACTATGCATTTACTCTAGGAGTTCTGAGTTACTAAACTAAGTTAGAAAGCCAGTGTAAACGGCAAATGAATCACACAGGAAGATCACTGCAGAACGGCTAAGTGTTTATTTCTTGTAAGCTGTGCCCTGAAAAAAATGGAAACAAAAACAACACCCCCAGCCACTACACTTTAGAGGAACGCTTTGTCTTAGCTGCTGATACAAATACCACCTTTACAATTTAGGAATGAAATGATCATACTTACTTGTTTGTAGAGAGTGCCTCTGCCGCTACAAGCTTCTGGTAAGGTGGTTGCAGGCAAAGAGACCTAGTCCTTCCAATCATTAACTTTTATAAAATGCCTGTCCTTTTTTTTTTTTTTTTTTTTTTTTTTTTTTTTTTTTTTTTTTTTTTTTTTTTTTTTTTTTTTTTTTTTTTTTTTTTTTTTTTTTTTTTTTTTTTTTTTTTTTATAAAATCCTTGTCTTTTTTTTTTTTTTTTTTTTTTTTTTAAACTCCCTTATTGTCCCTCCTCTCTTGGCTGGTTGGGGAGATGTTATTGCTAAATATCGTTGATTGGCTGTTGGAAAACAACTATGCATAGTCAATTAGATCTATTCTCTCTCCCTGCTTCCTGAACTCCCTTCCCTTCCCCCTCTCCCCATATGCATATAAGACAGTTTATGATGAGATGAAACTGAGAAGTTTTTCAGATTATTTCTGTGATTTGACAGTATTCCTCCTCTTTCAAAAACACAGTAAAAACAATTACAAGAGCAACCATGCAAGTTGTTTACATGGAACTTGAATGTAACTTTCAGTTTAGGGCTAGATCTTCAGGAAGCTTACATTTACGAAACTCCGCAGTGTGCAGAGCAGCTGACCGGGAAAGAAGACTAGAAAACAAAATACAGAAATAATGAGGCAGAGCCTTAACTGGCGTGAGTTACTTTCATTTCGGTGACTTCCTAGCTGTTACACTGATTTTATTCACTTGAAAATTTAGCCTAGAAACATGTTTTCCCTTTCTAGTTCATATTTGGAAACGCAAAAGGTAATGTTATAGTACCAGGGTTAATGAAGCAGCAAGCCCAGATTTCCTTTAGTGCAGTGTGGCACATATGGCAATGATGGCTATCAGAAGAAATATGCTCACATGGAGATGCACAAGTTAAGCCACATTCTCCACTGAAATCCTGTTGAAACACCCTCTACCTGAGTTACAATGACATGCAAGCTTCTCAGTTGCTTAACAAAATTCTTCTGTGAAAAAGCGCCACATTTAGTTTATATCAAATCACACTGCACCTATTCAACAAATCTAGGTAGATAGGGCCAATGTTTCTCTTATTTCTTTCTTATTCCATGTCACTGGAGAGAAGTATAGTGTAAGGACTGTGTTAGGCAAATGTCACGCTGTCAGCAACAGCACACTCTGTGACCTTGGACGTTAGCATGACTTTATCCAAAAGGCCCAGTGTTTGCTTGGACAGTGACGTATTTTCTCCATTTTTTTGGCTCATGTAATGACACCTTTAGCCTTTACATGAACAGAATGAGAAGGGTGATTTTGCCTCTCACTGAGCGCTATAATTTCATTAGGGCATTTCCTCCCTGAGCCTATCGTTCCGGAGGTGTGTGGCAAGATCCGTGAGCGAAGGAAATCTAACAGTTAATATTATGCAAGCACTAGAACTCTGTGACAATCAGTAAAGCTCTAAGAAACCTGCAGATTCAGTCTAACTGAATTTAATTGAGGGTCTTGTGCTTTTTTATTTTGTTCTCTTTAACTTTCTCCTTTCTGATCCATCCCTTTTTGCTGAAGAGTGCTGTGGCACGTAATAACACTAATAGAAAGCATTCAGTGTTTTATGGTGTTTGCTTTATATCCCATATCTCCCTCCCTAGCATAAAGATGAACTCGATATCCTATTAAAGTTCCCCCGCAAAGGCATCTGGTATCATTTAAAAATATGTTTAATAATATATCTTATCTAAGATCCTTTTGGGGCATAAAGGTGTCATACTCATGGCATCCTTCAGTGGCACAGAGAAAATCTTGGAGTCTTGTTATTCCTGCTTTGGTCAAAAGCTGTCACAGGTAAGAAAATACTTGAGATGTTTTATTTTTCTTTTCCCCAGTGTCATCTGTGATAAGGTCTGACTGTTCCTATTAGAAAGAGAGAAGGTGGGGGCAGACTTCCTGAAAAAAAGCATCTTCTGATATTTTGAAAATGCTTTAGATAATCCTGTAGCCCACCCTACATTCTTAACATTTTGAGAGCTTTCATTTTTTCTAAACTTGTGTCGTGGCTAGTGTGTGCTTTTCCATTCCTTCTGAGCAAAAATCCAGCAGTTTTAGACTTACAGGTTCTAGCAGATATTCTAAGAAGTGAGGAGAAGAAAAGTGAATGGACACAATGGCTGATTTTTTCACTTAATTTGGGAATAGGAGATTTTTCTGGGAAGAATGTGGAATGAGCAGTCATTCCAGATAATGTCACTGTAAGATTTACTACTGTTAAGATTTAGAACCATGATTCAGACAGTGCTATTTAGAAATCAGTGGTGGTCTGCATGCTGGAGTGACACTAAAAGGACACTGGAAAAAAGCTGATGCATTCATGATTAGAGCGATATAATCATAAAATGAGGATACTTAACCCCTTTGACATTTAGGTTAAGATGGTGTGATATATTCTTACAAGGTAAGGGGAATAAGCTTGCGTGGCGAGAGGAATGCAGCGTACTTGCATTCAACCCAGCGATTAACCTACTGCATAGCAAACATCAAATTATTACCTGCACTAATTATTCTACAGCAAAATCGGTGTACTGGCCAGGCTGTAGACCTGTTTCGTTGAATTACTGCTTGAACTCATAGTATTGCCAACTCACTCAGCTTTCCAGGGACAAAACTAATTTTGAATTGGTGTCTTTTTTAATTTAAGTATTTCTCAGAGTAACCTGATACAGTCATGGGGCTGAAAGTAGCAAAATGGCTGCCTGCAGGTGTGAACATCCTTGGTAGAGGTGGCTACATCCAGACATTATTTTGAAAGAGGTTGAATCTGTAGCTATGGGTAGCATGACTTCAAACAGGAAGCACAATGCAGGGAGGTTAGGAGACATTTTGTGGACATGAATTGTGAGGAATACTGAAACCGTGATGGAGGGTGGAATCAGAGGAATAAGGATGCAGGTCAGGATGCAGATTTGGAGGCTTTGAGAGAACAGGAGGTGGGAAGGGCAAAGAGAGGCGGAGAGTTAAGACAATAGCAATGTAACAAAGTGGCGAGGCTAGTGAAGTAAAATAGATGCCCTTCTCTAGCAATCACTAATGGCTGGCTACCATGAGGCTGGTTGCGTTCCCAGCTTATTAGTGGTATGTGGGGTTTAGTTTCTCCCGCAAGGTGACTGGCAAAGCTTCCTGGTTCCACAGTTTGTAGGGCTGACCATCTAGGCAGGTTTTCCTTTAAGAGTTCTATTCCTGAGAAAGCACCGGCTGTCCTGGAGTTCATTATCTTCTTCTGCCTCTGGCATGGGGGGTTGACAAATTGACACTATTGTGGTGATTGATAATCTGCTTCTGTAGTGAAAAGTCTTTTAAAATGGGAAGGATTCTAAACTATTTTTGGATGTGTGAGAAACATACATATTTTAGGATTCTAAATAAGGCAATTGAATTCTCATGGAGAGATCATAATAGCTTTTTTATCTGTAAATGAGGTAACCGATATAAACTGTCTTACATATAAAAATCTCACTCAAGTCATTGTTTGAAAAATCACTGAAAAACCTGATGCGTAGCAAGACAGTTTGAAAGTTCATTCTTGTTTTACCTTTGATAGCCTGGGAACAGGAAGAGAAAATGGTGGTCAGCTCTTAAACAGATGCATAAAGTTAAATGTCTAGCTTTTTCTCTCTCACAAACGTGACAAAATAAATGAAGTCTGTGCTTGAATGGCATGGAGATTTGTACTTTGTTGTATGTTAATGTTGTTTTTTCCATCTGAAATTAGCGCACAAGAGTTGATAGAAGTATACAGTATATATAAAATATGAGTGACAGTATATATATAATATATGGGTGACTTGGGTTATTATTTAGGCCTTAAGTTGTGGTTGGTTGAGTTTGGAAAAAACCCACTTATATCATTTTACAAGTACTGGATTTTCATAGCAGAAGTTGATTTAGTAGCTGTCCTTGTTATATCCAACCCTACTGGCAAAGGATCTGTCAGTTCAGTGTTAAAGTTTTGAGTGAAAATTGTTGCCAAATGAAGTACTTCAAGACCAATGGAAAGCCTCATTTAAAGACAACAGGTAAAAATTTAGAGTTACATAACATTCTTCAGGTAGGAGATTTTATTTTTGTGTTTATTTCTATAAATTTCATTCTGATACTGATTTTGGCCTTTACATACTTATATTAACTAATATTTTAAATGAAAATAATAATAAAATGTGAGGAGAGAAGAAAGACAAATTGTGGCACACCTGAGAGAGGAGGGGAAGGATAAAAAAAAAATGAATAGTTGAGTAATTTCAGAGATAATATGGTTGGTCACTAAATGAAAAATAAAATAATGTTAAAGCTTGCCTCTGTAGTTCACTAAATGAGGTAGTATTAATCTTATCAACACTTTGTGGTTGAAATTGAGTGGAAAAAACACTGATAGCTGGGAGACTATTTAAGCGTAATGTGCATCCACATGAAAAACACCTGTCTCTCTGAGCCCCAAGAGAGTGCTCCCTGCGTGATGGGGTTAAAGTATAATCAGAGCACACTTGAATTGAATGGCGTCTGCCTTCTTTTCACCTCTCCACACTGTGCTGGATGTTTCTTGTTGTTTTCTGTACTCTGCAGTCTTGCTTAACTATCTCAAAGTCCAGCTTGTTCATCCATATCTAATCAGAGGTACTGTTTATTGAAGTGGCTTTTTTTTTCCCCTCACCTATACTCTTAACCCCCAGTCCAGAGAGCCTGGCCTTTAACCCCATTAAAAGAAATCATCTGTGTTTTTGGCCCCACAGTATTCAGCGATGCCTGCAGACACGTACATTGGGGAGGAAAGGGAGGGTGTTGGGTGGGACTGGCTCATATCTGCAAGAGCACACACACAGAGAGGGTTGCAGCACAGGAAGGAGCTGCTTCTTCTGGCGTAAAATTGGGCTACAACACACATTGTGAAGACTTGGAATGAAATACAGGCAGGCACATATCGTTACTGTTATCATAACCCACTTCTCTGTAATAATTTCAGTAGCAATAGCAAATCAGGATGCAGCTTTAAAACATGCTGTCAGTGGCAGCATCTCTGGGCTGTGGAGAATAGTTCACTCATGTAGTACAGGACATGAAGGTAGATGCAGTCATGACACCGGTCTCTGTGCCTTTTTGTTGACATTCAGTTTTTGAAAAGCAAATAGGCAAAGGACTGGCTGCTATAACGGGAAACACTTACCTGCTTATTACCAGTTTATCCAAATGGTACATAGTCCCGGAAAAACACATTCTTGTGTGCTGCATACTACTTTCGACATACAGTTTTTAGCATATAAAATACAACAGGTGTATGAATTTGACCCATTTGCTGAAAAGACTGTTGTGGATGAGGTTTCTGCAGTGATGGAGGAAAATTGCATGTCATGGCTGAAATTCAAAGAGGAATAGGCACAGAAGAATGGAAAGCTGGCCAGAGGCTTATTAATAGTGCAAAAAAATCAGAAAACTCCTATTTTTCTTGATCTACAAAACCACTTAAAAATCACCAAAAGTTACACAACTGGGTATGTGTCATTCATAGTTTAATACATAGAACAAAGTCTTGGAAATGGACCTCTCTGCCTATAGGTGCATGAATAAACTAGAGAATTCTCTCAAAGCGTAAACTGTTGGGACAGAAGGTAGTCTGGGAAATCAAGATATCCTAGCAACAGAGACACATGCAAAGGTGAAGAAACACAGAGTACCTACCAAGAAACATGGAATGCCTACTGGTACATTCATTTTTGGCAGATTGTTATACTGAAGATTGTTAAGAACTGTGTGTTAAACTCTGGCATGTGCTCCGTTTGGAAGAGACATCTGTAAAGTTGGTATCGAAGTATATAGAAAGAAGTCTAATTTCTAGAGACAAACTGCTAATGCCTTTGTTGCTACAGTTATCTTCCACGGAAAATTCCCCATCTTACACAGTGGAAAATGTAGCCTTACCCCTTGCAAAATTATACTGCAGTTAAATTTCAGCAATTAGAGCTTGAATTTATCTCAGGCCCCCGCTGAAGTGCCTCAGTACTTGAGGGAGATGATCCTGAGCAACCCGATCTAACTAGGCATGCTCTGTGTGGGTGTTTGGACAAGAGACCTCCAGAGGTCCTTTTTAATCTGAATTATTCTAGGATTCTATAAAAGATTACATTGTCCATGCAGATGCATGAAGCCATCAAAAGAAATATTTTTCTTCACTCGAATACAAAAAGGAAAGAGATGGATCTGCCAGTAAGGAAAACTAACAGTAGCACATAGACTGAAGAAATAGTAAGAGTTATAATAGAAAGCTTATCTGTTTTGTAGGGAGCGTGCTTGTAGGTTTTTAGAAAGAAATTCTAGACTTTAAACAAAACCTTGCTGTGTCCTGTCAAATTGCTTCTGAAATAGCCAGTTTGGCCATTCACAGCTCCTCACAACTGACAGGAAGTCTTTCTCCTTCTCTCTTCAGATGCAGAGCCTTCTCTATAAAACACTGATACCTTCTGTTGTTTTAAAATCTTCTTGGGCTTCTAATCAGATAGAGAATTACCAATCTACACTTTGTGTTCTGCCAGAAATCAAAATTATGTTGGACATAACTTGGAAAAAAAGGCAGTCTTTTGTTTAATAGGAGTACTTCCCCCAAATTGTTTTGGACAGTGGTGCCTTGAGCTGCCTGACAGCTGCCTGACCCGTGAAAAAGAATCCTTTTGTGCAAGCTATAGTTCTTATATTAAGAAATGGTATCAGAGTCCTTGGGAATGAACCATCACCTGAAAAAAATACATGCTATTTCTTTAAAAAAGATCTGTCAATCCGATTTGTTTTAATATAGGTGAAACAATCTCTTAAGATCGTATTTGAAAGACTTAATGCTAGCCCTTGATCTTCTGTAGCCTGAGATATGACAATTGAGCTCTGCCTCGCTGGCACAACAGAAAAGCTAAGACTTGCTTATCTGAAACTGAATTTTTAGCCTAAACTGTGGAACAAAATACTGTCCTCTCTTTTTTTGGTTCCATGGACAAAGTACACTTCTCCGACTTGGAATTTCTAATAAAACACATAGCACAGAAGACAGAAACAGAAAGAAATATGCTTTTCAAAGTCCAGATGCAGAAGAAGGAAAGAACCATGTACTATGAATGTTTCTCCTGATGCTAAATGCTTGCCTGAGATGCCACAATGGTAGGCATTGAATAAGTAAGTAAGTACTTGAAAGCTCAGAAGTTGCTACCAGCAACTGCAGTGGAAAGGACCAGCTATGTTGTAAAGATGAATTAGGCACCTAGGATAATAATTCTAGAAGAACCTAAAGAATTTATTAACTTGATGCTAGCAAACAGGATAACTATTGCTTGCACAAAAGAATTCTTTTTTTGATGGGTTTATCAGAAACTTTCACTAGCAGGTTAAAATTTTAGCCTCTCCAAGTATTGTTTGGAAACGATTCTGCTAGCCAGCCTTTCTTGGCTTTTATGGCCTGAAAATTGTCTTCTCGTTTAGGATGGATGCCTGAAGTTCATGTTCTTAATTTTCAGGTGTAAAACCTGATCCACGCTTAGTGAGATTATTGAGGAATCTCTGTTTGACCTCTGTGGAATACAAATTAGGTACTACTGTGCAAAAAGAAAAATAATGTAGAGACATTGATAAATCATTTCCCACATGAAAACATTTATTAACTGCATATTGTCATTTGTTTTTCTTAAGGTTTGTTTTTTATCTCTTTCTTATAAAGTGAGTAGTTTATTGCACATTTCTGTGAGATTTTCTTTGCAAAAATGAGTATGAATGGACTGTCATGAAAACAACCAGGGTGTTGTTCTGGGTTATACAGTACAAAGATTTTAAAAAAAAAAGTGAAGAAATGACAACACACCACACTGAAACATTGAACACTTAAAGAAGGATAAACGTTAAACAAGCTGCATTTCCTCACATGCACAGGCACTTAGTGGAATAAATATACAATGACACCCAAGTCCTGTCATCTTACCATGTTATAGTACAGATTGCAAATAGGTTTGCCCACCTGCTGGTGGTGTTTCTGTGTTACCATTCTGTGGTATCTTTGAGGTTTTCAGCAGCTAAGAATAAATGATCTATTTCCTGTGTTTTGCCCTTTGAAGGACATCACAGAATTTGCAAGCAAGTCAGTCTTCTCACATCTAATTTCCAAAGATGCAATAAAAGTATCCCAGCTGAGCTAATGAGTGGGTGAAGTTCATTTGCCTGAGCATGCACTACTCCACGCTCTGAACCTATTTCTAATTGGCTAACTTGCGTTATGCATTTATATTGCACATTTGTACAGGCTGGATACCCATCATGGGCAGACAGCTGGAGATTCACACATACTTCCTTTGGTTTCATCCCTCAGGTTCTATGCCTTTCCCATCTCTGACCGGACTTGCTATGAGTTTAAGGCTTAAATTACCTGGGAGAAAATGGGAGAAAGTAAGTAGAGCTCTTTCCTCACAAAAAACAAAGAAACCAAAAACATCCCCAACTAAAACTCAGTGAAAGTATTTTACTTGGTTCATTCTGAAGCTAGAGAAATGGTTTCAAATATAGTTCAACCAGTCTCCATCTATAAGTGAATGTGATTCAAAGCCCACTGAAGTCAAAGTGGGCTTTTCATTAGACGTAAACATTTTGGTGGCAATTCTGATTCTGTAAGAAGTTTCTATGTGCATACTCTTTTTTTGTATTTAGCTGCACTACAAAGTGCAGCTTATCCCAAATGCCTAACAGCCAGAAAACATTAAGTTACTGGGTCCGTACAGGAGTGGCCGTTCATACGTTGCGTTATTGTTTGTTTTTATGAACAGCTGGCTTTGTTTCTCGTGGCCACTGTGTTTGCCGCTAGGAACAGCAAATGAACCACTAGCCAGAGCTGTGAATTACAGCTCCAGAATGAAAGAAGACTCCTGCATGATGGCAGCACCCTGATCTTTCCTTTGCTTCTGTGCTGATAGGAAATCAAAGTCAAATTAGCAACTAATAAGGTTTGTTTTAAGGATCCGGATTCACTAAGACTAATAGTGTTACCACCATGTAAGTTACCCTGTGTTGTTTAGGATATATCAATGAGAACATGCGTTTGGGGCCTGCCTGTGTAACACTGAAGGCTGTTAATCTGTTTTACCATTCCTGTCTTCAGAGATGACCTTTAATAAAGCAGCGGAGGCTTTGTTTTTAAGAGCCGCTTTTCCAAGAAAGAGGAGTGGGAAAGGTGGAGATACGGATAGGACCTGTAGGGGGAGGCAATAACAAATAGCAGATTAGTAAAATGTGGAGAGTCTACATGAAATTTGGGGGAGAGTTCTCATTACACACATGCTGGTTTTGAAAGGTCTGCTCAGAAGTGTACCTTTGAAATGGAGAGAGGTCAGAGATCAGACCTGGTCAAGGACAGGAAAATCAGAGCTTTTACTCCTTACGGGCTGCAATTTGAAGCATTCACTTTGGCCAGCATTTCTGTTTCCTAAGGTGAGGATTTCTGTAGCTACTATTAAGGGAAGTAGGCAGTGCATCTGTTTATATGAGAGTTCTTCCCTTAGAATGATTAAGGAGAGTACATAATCCAAACCTTCAGCTGAAAGTCTCCACTTCCCTCCCACAAGGTGTGTGATGATTAGTTGAAGGCATTTATTACGTAGGACCTGAATGAACGCAAGTTTATTCTTTAACAATTTTCCTTTTCTTAAGAGAATTTCACTTGGAGGCATAGCACATTCTGTGCGAGTGGCACAGCATCTGAATTTGTACGCTGTCTCTCTGCTCAGTGGCAAAGTTCTCCTGGCTTTATCTAGAATGGCATGGGCAGATCACAACAGTTTGGGGTTATCGTTTAGCCGAAGACTGGAATACAAGCCTACATGCTGGACCAGATTGGGTTCCACCACATAGGCATTCTCCCCCTTAGTTTGTAGCAGCGAGTAGAGGGCAATATCCTTAGCAAAACCCTGGCGGCAGTGCAGCTCCTTCAGGTAACCTAAGGCACGGCGGGCAGAAGGAGCAGAGAACAGCATGGCAGGCGTGCAGCATTCAGTAACGGGCACAATATTATAGAGTGGGGGGGCCAGCCGACGCAGCTCCAGCATGTAATGGCGTCCCACCAGCTCTGACAAAGCCATACTGTACAAAGCAAAGAACAAGACAATGGGCCAACTAAGGCTTGGGTGGCCAGTTGCCCAGGAGTAGACAAAGTTCAGCATCGGCCCTAGAAACATTCCCAAACCTAGCCACTCCAGAATTCTCATGGGCTCAGGGTTGAAATAGCGCTGAAGCCTCTCAGGGTGGTAAAGCTTGAAGTAGAGGGCATCTCTGAGGTATGGCTTGGAGAACCGGGCCAGCAAGAGGTGCTGCAAGACAGGAAAAATCTCTTCCTCTGGCACAGCGTCGTCTTCCACTATGAGGATATATTCTGGATTGTAGACCAACAGTGACTGCTCCAGGCAGAAGACATAGTCCTGCTTTTCCTTCTCAAACTGATTCACTCCAGGGTCAGAGTCCTCCCTGCTTTTGTTGCGACTGACCATAGGAAAGAAACTGCTCAGCAGCCTGACATCCTGGTGGCTACTGGGGTCTGGCTCCACGTTACAGAGGAGGATACGGTGGCTTTGGCAGTGTGCACCACATTGCTGGAGGAGGTGGTGGAAGCGGGAAGCCACTTGCAGGACATAGTGGAAATCGCTCCTCCTCTGCACGGTAATAATGGTAACCAGCAGCAAGGGCCGGAAGGCCTCACTGCCAGGAGCCTTGGAGGTGTTTAGTATCTGCAGCTCCTCAAAGTAGCGGAGGGCAGCCTGGCCCTCCTGTTGGTTCTGTTCCAGGAACTCCTGGCTCATGGGATTCAAGTGCCAGTGCCGCAGGTAGAAATAGGAGTGGAGGAGCCGGTGGCAAATCAAAGGAGCCAGCACACCAAACGTCACCACAGTCAGCGTGAGAAGATGGATGAAGGGGCTGGACCAACGGCACCACCTCCTGTAGAGCTGCCAGCTGTGCTGTAACATGGCTCCTGGAGAAGGAAGGCACCCTTTCTCTTCTCATGCCTTCATTCCTTCACCACTTCTGCATCTGCTCTGGATGGCAAGATATCACTGGGGCAGTGGGTGCCGAACCTGCACAGTTTGATCGAGCCTAGAGAGGAAAGGAAAAGATGGTTAATGAAATAGGAGCTGGCAGAGCAGGAAGACTGTGATTTGAGGTCATGGAAAGCTGAGGGCTAGTCCCCGAGTAAGCCAAAGGAAGAGGTCCCTGATGATCCTCTTGATCTGGAGGCATCACAAAATTGTCATGGGACATCGTTTACTGGAGTAAGTATTTCCTGCAAGGTGCCCATGAAGCTTTTTCAGCACATAGGAGCTCTGATCTGACCTAGCTGAGACAGGAGCTTGCTGAGTTTGTTACTGTGCTCACAACTTGTAAAAAACAACAACATGGGTGCAGGAGGTGTGGATAAAGCAATCGTTTTCTGTTAAAGGAAGAGAACTTAGACATCACTATTCCGTCACAGTCATAGAGTAAGACTTGAGTCACAGCCAGTAAACAAAACCTGTTCCCCCTGTCTTAGCTAGCATATACTTGGGAGACAAACTTTTGCCTTTGTGGAGTGACACATTTCCCTTCAGTCACTCACACACTTCCAAAAGCAAACACGTGTTTAAACTTTGCTTCCCAGAGCATAAAGCAAGATAACAAAGGTATCGATTTACTTCACTAAGGGCACATGTATGCGAGGTGCAGTGTGTAACTCTCTCAGATATATCCTCCTCTTTAGACCCTGTGAAATACACAGTAGCTGGGTGAAAAAGTCGTTATCGAGCCATTTACTCATATTTGTCATTAAAGAGTTTATACTTTTAATTTGAAACCGAAACATGAAGATAGCTCATTTATTATATACACACACACTTTACGTAAGCGCTCACCTTCCCAAAAATTAACATTTGCCGTATTTGGCTTTTCTGTCCTATTTCTCTGTCCTACTGATAGCCTAGCTATCAGTAGTTTTCACAAAATTAGGACAATTAGGCTGTTCACATGACCTCTCTAGTGCCTTTAACTCTCCTTTTAATCTGCTGTTTGACTGTCCTTTACACTTTCCATCCTTTCTCCTCATGAACTTAGCTTTCCAATGTCCCCCAGCACACCGACTCTCTGTGCCTCTTTCAGTGGGCAGTTTCTTCTATTTTTAACCTTCTGCCCTTACCAAGTTCTGGACATCAAATAGTGCTCTCCGACTAAAATGTTGCCCCTTTTCTTTTTCTACAATTCTCCCCAAAGCATTCTGAACAATGGTTCTGAATATGGCTGGAAGTAAATTTGGGTGGTGGCATTTCCCTTCTGTCTCAGGTGAAAGTGCAATATAGAAGAAATGATTCAGAGGACATTGAGCTGGGTCTAAATCTGGGACCTCTTCAAAATCGCCTTCATTACTGTAGTCATAGAGTTGCTAGAGTTACCATTACGGGTACTGCCTCCTATTGGCATATGGCAATCTAACAGTCTTATATGAAAAACCTTTTACTAGAATTAATGAAAAATACACGAGAGTTACTCTAAATCTTTGTTAGAGACCAGGCCCTTTCATATGAGATCTCAAGTGATCCTTGGATAGACTGTAACATCAGTGTTGTGCTATTCCATGATCCATGAAAGTACAAGATTCACAAGATCTGTTAGGTAGTTAAGTAGCAGTAACATGAAATTTGCACATTGATGCAATGATTGTTGCAGTGATTGTTGCAATGATTGTTTCAGTAACACTGTATTGTATTGATCAGTGCGCTTTGTAAAGGCATTAAAGGTGATGGTTATTTTTCAGCCACCAGACCCAAGTCATCATGATTCAGGATGTGAAGACCTGAAATCTATCAGAGGGGACGACCTTGCATGTAAGTGCACTTATTCAAAACCCCAAGGCTTTCCGTTTGTTCATCTTCTGCTCATGAAGCACAAACATTAAAGGAACACACAAACGCAAAATAATATTCTGCAAATCCAGACTCACACTGACATAGCTCTGAGCTTCCTTTTGATTTGAGCTGCACTCATGGCATGTTGACAGTTTGCAGAATCAGGATCCAGCCTTGAAAATGAGGACCACAGAGGGAAAATGTAAGGAGATGAAGAAGAGCTAGAAGATAGTTTATTTCTCAGGTAATAAATTATTTTCTGCCTGCCAGCTATGCTGGAGATCTGAGGTAGATGAAGTGAGTTCTGCAGTGAGCTCTGTAGCTTTCAGGATATACATTCAACCATCAGGAATAACTATCGAAGCTAGAGCCCTTGTACTGCCTCATACTGAAAAGGGAGAAAGAGATGTCATACCTTCTACGCAGCACCAGTAACAGCAGATTGGCTGCCAGCTGAGAGTCTAGGCTGCAGCCTCACTTGATGAATCTCAGTGAGACTTGCTCTTCTGCAGTCCTTGTTATACAAGGGACAGGCACAACTGCACAATGAAAATGTGCTGTCTAGATTCCTGCACGTGGACCCCCTTTGCATCTGATGACTGGGAATCAATTTTCCTCTGGTTCTGCCTGCTTGGAAAGCTGTGTTGGGTCTCCCCCTACTGGCATCCTGCTTCATGGCCCAAGGGTGAGGAGCTAAGCACAACCCTCTCAGGAGGCTGCAAGTTGATAGCAAGGAAGTAGCTAACTCCAGAGTTGCGCACGACTGGAAGCCAGCTGTGCATATCACAGTGTCTTATTCATCAGGGTTTCTGATTTACTTTGGCTTTGGCTCATCAGTAACAAAATTCAAGATCTAAAACAGGTGTTGTTCTGATCTTGTACCTCAGAACAGCTTAAGCAAAGCAACCATCAGACTGGTGCTTCTGCTCTTCTCCAAAACTTCATCTGCTAGCCAGGCTGAGAGCAGCCACATTGGTTGCCATTTTCTTCATCAGTTTTCCCGTAGAGGAAAAGGCTGTTGTCAATGGGTAGCAGAATAACCACAAAGGCTAACAGTGGTCAGAAGCATATGAAAGCTTGCCAAATGCTCTAGCTTATGCCAAAACAAGCTCCAGGATGTAGAAAAGAGAAGTAGAGACACCAATTCCATCCCAACTTTTTGGCTATAATTCCAGGAACCTGCTATTTACAGAGATGAAGCTTGATCCCATGTGCAGAACTTGAATCCACAGTTCAGACTGTTTTCTACTCATCAGCATAGTTCTGATTTTACTCATGTTTTCAGAAGCTGTCAGTACCGTCACTTCCATTTTTTCCTCCTTTTTAGTGGTTCTGTTTGTTCCCCTTTGAATATTTAAGGAACATTTGTGAGTGAAAAATAATAGGGGGTTAAAAAAAAAAAAAACCCTGCATTAATCATGAATAGTAACTACTTTGCAACCATGTGTATGGTTGCAGTTGAGGCTACTTTATACATGTTCTGTGTAGAACTCCGTGTGCAATTGCTTAAACATATTTGGAAGCTGTATTTATATAAAGTTAGGTATACAGCTTGTTTCTGTATTTGGACTCTCAATCATGTGATTTGGAATCCTTTCAGGAACACTAAGTTTGCATCCAGATCTATATCCCCATCTTCATTAGCTTCCTAATTATCGGGCTGAATTGTGCTGCTTAGGAAACAGTGAGCTCTGTATACACTGAGGTAGGGTAGACAAAAGTGCAACTTCCTCTTTAGGAAGCAAAACATTCTCTTCTGTGCTAGTGCTTTAAAAGAGATGATTTTTTGTCTGCTCAAAACTTTTCTCCGCAGAGGTATTCCTGAGGGCAGGTGTTCCTGCAGCAAAGCCTTCTACCTGTTTCAAAGCTGTGAAATGCAAGGAGGCTCCTGGACAGGTAATATACATTGGGAGAGGTCCTCTCCCTCTTCTACTGCCTCCTCTGTGAGGCAAGGCAATAATTATTCCTTTATGATTACAATATTAAGTTGTCCCTCTTTGACTAACTAAACTACTCCTCAGTGTTAATGGGAGAAGCCATTCCTTTCCTAACATTTAAAAAAAAAAAAAAAAAATCAGGTGGTCAGATCCCACAGAGTCATCACTGTGGGAACAAGAGTTGGGATCTCAGAAAGCGTCATAGATAGGCCAACTGTTAGTGTTTGTAGCTATGAGTCTCTAGCTCAGCCATAATGATAATGGCAATGATGTTCACACTGAGTGGTAGTTTTGAGTTCTGTGTTGATCCTCCAGTGGCCCCCCAAGTGGAAAATCCATGTGTGAAACACCACTAGCCCCCAACCTAGCACTATACAGACAGGCTGCAACCCCGGGGAGAAGTTCCTCTAATGATTAACTTCCTCGGGCGGAAACAAGAGGTTTGTCTTGAGGGTGATATTGTTAGTGCACCAATTAAATTCCACTGAAATACATAGGAAGTTTAAAAGCAAACGCTCCTGCTTGAATCAAAGGACACTGCTGACAGAGCTGCTTGACAAAGTCGTAAACAGCAGTGTAAATCTCTTTCTATTTCATATATGCATGCTGTCAGTTCACTGTTCTGTACAGATGCCCTCATCTGAAAGGTGAGGTTCCTACCATGAGCTGATCCATATTACTGGACCAGATGGCCAGCTTTTCTCATCTAGCATATGGCAATTCCTGTCCTGTTTTCTGACAGCTTTGAGTAGGACAGGTGTCAGACTTGCAATATTTCTGCAATGAACAGGCTCTAATTGAAAACAGCATTGTCCAGTAGAAGCCAAGCATGCATAGATCTGACTGTTACATTCAGATGTCCAGCTGGGAGTTGGGCTCTCTAGGACCTAAACACAAACCATCCTGGCAAGAGCTCTGCTTCTCAAAACATTCAGCAGCATATTAAATGATAACAACTCAACAGTTGTTTTTAGAGAGTGTTTTACTAAGAGGCACCACACATATCTCCTACATCAACTTCAAGCAGTGCGCAAAGCAGTTGTCATTATTATACGCTGTGTAGAGAAACTCTGATATTGCCAGTGCCAACAACTGGCCAGGATGGGTAATGCCCAGTGATGAACACAGTTAAACTTACAGTGAAGCAACTATTTTATATGCAAATCATGAAAGGCCTTGATTTTGTCTTTGTTTCCTGTCACACAGTGAATGTCAAATCCAATTTAAACTTACATTTAAAATGCTTTCTGCTATGGCAAAGGCCAGGATTGCTGGTGATGCACTT